TTCCCTGGCCACCTGTAATATGGCCAGCCGCTTTGCCGTCTTCTGGATGCTCGCCTTGTGTGTTTCTTCTCTCCTCGTTTGACCGCGGGTAGGATGGTCCCGACTCTCAAGGGATGCACGTTCAGGCTCGTTTGTGTCCGCGTCGGTTTAAGGGACGTCAGCGTCATCTTTGACTTGATGAAGCTTCTTTAAGTGATCCTCGCTACTGTAATGGCGCTCCTTTCTCTGGTCTTTGCCTTGGTTCGTGGAGATCGGCTAGCTTGTAGAGACGTCCCTCGTTTTCCATGGCGACTGTTGCGTCACCACGATTGTCCTTTTCAATTTTACGCAGGATAAGAACAATGGTTGCGGTACACACAACAAAAAAATTAAAACCACATTCCACTGTGTGGGCTCGAGCTCGTCGCTCCAACCCCTATTTTGGTCACGCAAGAACTTGGACACAAATTTATTTCCTACGCTTCGCGCATCGTGAATAATCGCCTTCGGCTTCTCGGACCAATAATAAACAAGCAATTTTTGTTTGTTGCCCCCACGCATGAAGCAGCGTGGCTGTTCGATCTTGTCTCCACGACATTTTGGTTGCACGTCAAAATACCCCTAGGTTTTCTGAATAAATCATCAATCCTTCGCTGGGTTGTGCTATACTTAGTTTCACCTTCAGTCCGAGCGCAGTGGATGCTACGCGCCGTCCCAGCCAATCGAGCGCCGGGGCAGTATCGCGTGATCTCGAGCTCCGCGTGTCGCTCCGCCCAACCACAAGGTCACGTGATACTCTTTCGGCGCTGGATTGGCTGGGATGGCTCGTAGCATCCGCTGCGCTCGGACTGAAGGTGAAACGAAGTATAGATGCTCTGCGTTGATTTGGCATGTAAACACAAAAGAATAAGGTTCCTTAAAACAGGGCCGGCTTGCTCGAACTAAGGCACCCTAGCTCGAACCATTGTCTGAGATGGGACTGTCTGAAAGAAAGCACTGCCAAAGCTAGCGCATGAGCGGAGTGGCGCGTGAAGTCGCGTCTCAAATGCTCACGCGCCCCGTGTTTGGCAGGCTTTCTTTCCTTCAAACGGTTTCATCTCAGACGCTGGTTCGAGCAAGCCGGCCCTGATGTTTCAAGGCACATTTATTGGTTTTTCCTCGCCAACACTCCTAAGCTGACAGTGTGGTGGAAGCTACGTACTTGCTGGACCAGTCACCTGTCGTTCTTGCCACACGTGATCACACTCTGGGTGAAGCGATGACAGGCAGTCGATTGATTCGTCCGATGAACATGTAGTTTACATCGCATTGTCAGCTTAGGGGTGAACCCGAGTGTAGGTAAAATGTCATAGACATTTATGCGCGCTCACAATCAACTGACGACTGGGTGTTGTTTTCCTATCACGCAACCAGCGGAGTGAACAAACTGCAGGTACCCGGCACCACCGTGCGGGGATATGATAAATGTATGCCCTTACTCAGTTTGTTTTGCTTTATTGCAAAAGGGCTGCGACGGTTTAAAAGAACACTTCCTTGCCGCGGAATAATGCCTTGTCGTCTTTCGGCGCGTCTTCATGTGAATAAAATCAGCTCCCACTGTGTTTTAACGCCATAGCGTTAATGAGCTCGTGTTGCAGAAAAGCTGACGTCGGTGGCGTGACGCGAAAGCCCGGGATTGGTCGACAGGGTGATGACGTCACAGCCACATGACCCCGCGCGGAAATTTCAAACAACCCACAACGCTCACGTGAAAAGTGACGTCACGCGTGGAATGAAAGTGATAAAAAGACTACATGTAATGCGAATTAAAGATCACCGCATGTCTCAAATGATTTCACTTTATGAAGTAATTCATTTTCTACGAAGAAAAATTTGAAGAATTTTAGGCGGGATTTGAACCCACGTCCTGTCGGTTGCGCGCCAGCACGCTACTCACTTAGCCACGTAAGGCAGCTTGCACGGCTTGGGAACGAAGAGTGTTGTGTCATGAGAACTAGGTCGTTGTGTGACTCAAGAGCATGAGAAGCGAATGAGAAGGCGATGCGAACGGGCCCCGATAACGCAATCGCGTTCCACTCTTAAAGGGGATGCTTAAGTGTCCTCCAAGTTTCTTTTTTTTTGCGTCATTGCCGTGCAACCTTGAGCAGAACGCGACATTCTACATGCTTTAAAAAGAAAAAGATAAAGATTACTTTTGTGTTTTGGTGGAATGAGTTATCTGCAAACTAGCAAGGTCCCAGGCTCCAACGGAGCGTGTGTTTGTGAACTAGTCTTCTTGCGCTGTGCTGGGCTTTCAAGAGCGGCGTGTCAGTCTTGTACCTGGTCTGACGTGCGAATAACGATTCGTAGCCTTGTTCGCATGATAGACCCTCATTACAAATCGGACCGCCAGGCGTTCAGTTTTTCCACTGAACTATTCAAATTTTACACTGTGCATCGACATGCTTATACATCATATTCACCGATGTTTGTTTGCAAACAAGCTCACTACCACCCCCTATCGGCGGACCCCTGCGCGCTTCCGGTTTTCCCCTTCTTTCCATTTGTCTCTCCTCCTTTTGTTATTTGCACTACTTTGTAGAATGTACTAATGTTCTTACAAACCTACTAGAGAAACTTCTCTGAAGGAAACTCTTCTTACCCGACCGCTGTGCGTTGCTGAAGAATAAATAAATACACTACCGGAAGTCTACTGGGGCACCAAATACTGTGGCGCCCTCGTGGTATCAACTCCCACCGAATGTGGTGAATAAAGGGCAGTTTGACACTCTCGACATCCATTCCACGATGTTCTGTGCGTCTTGACAACGCTCTTCGTCCAATTTCCCAATATATCCAAAATGTTGTTTTAAATCATGTGCGTGGAAGTTCCACTAGTAAAACAAATAGAATTGGCGAATTTTCTTAAAAACCATTTTGAATAGTGTTACTTACAGCCAGCGCCAACACAGATTAAAGGGGCACTAAAGTGAATTCTTAGTTTGCAGTTGACTATGGATATTTTTTGTGAGCATCTTGCCAGAAGCACTGATTTCAATCAGGCGTCTAGGACGGACTTTTATTCTCAAGTTCGTCGTCACAGCGGGAGAACATATCATATGGGTTCAGCAATATAACATCAACCGTGATGCTGAACACAAGTAAGCTACTTTTCTAATATTGATTGAAAGGTCAAGGAGTTAACAGACATTTCGAAAAATTACCCAATCATCAAGAAGCATGTTGTGTTTGTACGTACACGCGCTCTGTATGCTGCCGTTTGGAGCGGTAATTTGAAACCAAAAGTTTTAAGCAAATGGCACGTTGCCCGCGCGTCCATCAGTGTGTGCACGTCAGAACGCACTGGTGCACGTCGCGTCAAATTACACTGTAGCATGCTCCTTGGGCTTGGATAATTTCGAAAAGCATCTATACTTCGTTTCACGTTATCTGCGAGCGAAGCCAAAGGTACAAGTACAAGCAGGCTGCCTTGAATAATGCTTGCAATCCACAGGCACACGTGCGAAACAGGAACACTCAGAGCGCTGGGCTCGCACTTCTAGCTTTGACTTCGCTCGCGCATAAGGCGATACGAAATATATTTGCAACTTGTGGACGGCCCTGAGACACACGACTGAGGTGTTTGAAGCATGGTAGGCTTAGGGTTCCTAGGTAGGATTTGCTTGCTTATTTTTTTCCGGCCTAAAAAGAACGCACGCGAAATATAAAAGCACCACGAGACAACGCGCCCTCGTGCCGCGATTGGTGGGCGCGTTGTCACGTGGTCGAGCGTCCAACACTTCTTCGCTAGAATAATCTAGTGTGGGTTCGCATATAGTACCAGCTGAGGTGAATACAGCACTGACTCTACAATAGTAGGTAACACTTCCCCCCAAACCTCGCTTTTCTCCGACCGATAGGCTTCTACGCCTATGACGCGTGATGAAGCGTTTTCTTCCAAAATGCGGTCGCTGGGTAAAAATATGAAAGGGTGTGAGGGGGAACGAGCTATAAGAAAGGAGGTTAAGATAGCGGTGGACCGACGCACCGGCGTTTCAGAGTCCGTTCAAGGTTGATACGCCACGTGGCGTGAAAGTCAGGAACTAGGCCGGCATGTCCCAGAAAGCTGGCCATGTAACTGGCAGCTACTAACGTCTACGCCACGTGATTCAAAGCACTTTCTCGACGTGTGCATGATGTTCAATCTCGTTCGAGGGATGGATATGCCTACCCGCGACGATAATGTCCTTGACCTGGTACTTGTCTCATCCCCTGATCTGGTTGATTCTGCTGCGTACTTGCCTGGTATTAGCGATCATAGAATAAGAAATATATTGACATATTTGCCTGCAACTATTAAGTCGCCCTTCTCAAATGTTATTCGCGATTTAAACAAAGCCAGTTACGTCTGTATTCATGACGAGCTTACTATCTTTTTTCTCCTTTTTTGTATCACTGTCTGCTGAGGAAAGTTGAATATTATTTAAATAAAATCTACTTGACCTGTTTAATTTATATGTTATTCTATTACGTAATCGTGGGGACACCGGTGGACCGTGCTACAATTAAAAACTTTCGATAAAAAAAAAATTTAAGAACGCTTTTATTGAAAAGCGAAGGCTTGTGTGTCTCATTGAGTGCGGGAAAAGTACTTTCCTTACCTAAAAAAAGTAATGCGTTACTCAAAGATTAAAAAAGAAAAAAAAAATACTTTCACTTAGACTTACCTAATGTTCTTCGTCTTAATCCCACTAAGTTTTGAAAACGATAATGCCCAACCGCAGTACCCAAATTATCAAGTTATTAGAAGGTGATAGTGCCGTTTATGCTAGCTCCAGCAATAATGAATGATTTCTTTTTCTCCATCTTCAGAGTTCTCGCTCAGCCTCCGTCGAGAACGGTCGTGCTCTTCGAGCTCTCCGTTCTCGCCGAGTTCCCTGCTCCGTAACGTGAGCCTCCAGACTAAACATCGAGAGGCCCACTCCCCGGCCGGCCGCCCAGCTGCATCTCCGGCACCGCGCTGCTTCTCCGAAGCTCCCGCCATGACTCCGCCCGTCGCTGAACCATGGACTACCGTGCGCTATTCTACAAAACCAACGAAAAGTCACCTCACCATCGTCATAAAGCTGACCGACGGGGTTTCCCTATCGGAACTCCAGTCTACCCACCTCACCGATGCCGTAACCGCCGCCGCCCACCTTACGCCATCGGAAGCGAAAGAGACGTATTTCAAAATCCGTGACGTGCAAAACGTCCTCATCGCCGACACCTACCGACCCTCGGCCCAGGAAAAGCTCCTGCAGACCACGAAACTCACCATTGCAAATCGCGACTACGCCGTTACCAGCTACCCCTCGGCCCCCACCAACTCCTGCATGGGCGTCATCCACGGCGTCGCGTCTCTCACCGCCCCCGACGAGCTCATCGCCAACATCGAATCCAATGTCCCAGTACTCACCGCTCGCATGATGGGCAAGACCGAAACGGTACTCATCACCTTCGAAGGCACATACGTGCCCTATACTATATACTACCGCCGCCTCCAATTCCGGTGCCACCCACACAAGCCAAAATCTCAACAATGCCAAAACTGCCTCCAACTCGGCCACCGCGCGGAAGTCTGCCCCAAGAAAGGCAAGCTTACAGTATGCGACATCTGTTACCAGGAAAACATGACCTCGGACACCCTTCACAACTGCGTTCCTTACTGCGTCAATTGTAAAGAAGAGCACGCCTCCAAGGACCCGAACTGCCCCGCCAAAAAGCAAGCCGATGCGCAAGCCACTCTCGCTGCCTACAAACGGCGAGTACAGCAGCGTCCCAAGGCAACAACCATCCCCAACACATTGCGCACCCCTCCTCCACCACCAAGACCGAAGGGTGGGAAAGCCTTGACCACTCCCAACCCGCCCCACCAACCAGCACCTCCTTCCGACAAGGTGCCCACTACCAACTCCAGACAGGAGAATTATCGCCTACCGCCCATCCCACGAGGCTCAACTCAGCAACATCGCAGGACCCGGAGTCTCAGCCGCAACAACAAGGTGAGAGAGCCACTCCGTTCCACATTACACCCGACACACGCATCCCGACCCAAATCCATACCCCAAGCCATTACTGCATCCGACACGTACAAACAAGCGCTTCTCGCTGCCAAGCGCACACCAACCACCCCAAACACAGTACAAGCGATAAACGTAGCACCAGAAAATCAACACATGGACACTTTACCTCCCCTCTCTCAACCCGTCACTCCCCAGGTCTCCATCGAACTCAAGCAAATCATGCTCGTTCTGAAAAACATTCAGGAGCGCCTGGCCGCTCTCGAGCAGGATGTAGCAGAACTGAAAGCACAGGGCCCTCAGCACCCAAAACGAAAAGCAGACAACCCCTACAACCCTGAAAGCAAAATCCCCCGTCAAAATATCGAAACCTCATCAACTGATGACGAAACCAATATCTAAACAATCTATACACATCCTACAATGGAACTGCCGCAGCCTACAACGTAAACGAGCCAGTCTCACCCAATACCTCAACACGCTAGATCGCAAACCTGACGTCATCCTTCTTCAGGACACACAGGGCACTCACAACCTTCCACAATACACACCCTACACCCAACCCAGCATCACTCAAACCGACCGCAGGCAAAACACATATACCCCCACACTCGTCACGACATACATCTCTAAGGAACACCCGTCAATACAACTCAACACAACAGACATCAACACCGCTCACCAAGAGCACGTCATCATCACCCTTCAACCCCGCAACTGCCCCAATCCCATCACAATCGTCAACGCGTACTGGCGACCGGGCCGCAAGGTCGCAAATCCCACTCCCTGGCTCACGAAACTCGTTGCAAACAACTCAGACCACGACATCCCCTTAGTCGGAGACTTCAACAGCCCCAATGTGTCCTGGGGTTACCCAAACACTCAACACAATGGGCGCCTCCTCGCACAAGCAACCGCCCAAGCGTCGATGACACTGGCCAACGACACTACACAACCCACCCGCACCGGTAACAGTGTAGAGCGCGATACCAATCCCGACCTGGCCTTCCATCACGGCCCATCCGTTGCTGAATGGTCCGCATCTGACGAACAGCTAGGCAGCGATCATCGCCTCATCCACCTCACACTGATCACCAACGTCAAACAGAAAGTACGTCGCAATACTGCTCGCATCACAAACTGGGATCACTTTCGCTACCATACCTCCAACAACCCCCCACCGACGGACGCTGATCCCAGAGCCTGGGCCAACCATCTCCTCCAGGCACAGAACAAATGCACCAAAGAAGCCCAAACCACAACCGCTACCCCGTACATTGACAACCATCTTCTCAACCTCTGGAAAACTAGGCGCAAATTGGTGAAAAAATGGAAGAAAACCAAGCACTCCAAACACCTAAAACACAAAATTCACAACATCACCAAAGAAGCCGAAACCTACGCAGAGCAACTCACCACCGAAAACTGGCTCCAACTCTGCGACTCCCTCAACGGCCAACTCGGCACCAAAAAAACGTGGCGCATCCTACGCACACTCCTCACACCCTCTCAACCTCGCGACCCCCTCACACGCATTATGCTCGCCAGCAAAATTACCTCGCACGACCTCGAGCAGCAACTCCGCGACACCTTCTTTCCACCACCAACCGACACATCACACACACCAGAACCTCCAACTCCTCCCCTCGACCCATGCGACATGGACGCCCCCTTCCCACTCAACGAACTAAAGCGGGCACTTGACTCTTTCAAACGAAACACATCACCTGGCGAAGATCAAATCACATATCAACTTCTCCGCAATCTCGACGACACACAACTCCAACAACTCCTAAACTACTTCAATAGTGTTTGGCAAACTGGCGACATACCAGCAGAATGGAAACACGCCATCATCACCATGATCCCCAAACCAAACAAAACCTCCGAAGTCAAGAACCTACGACCCATTTCTCTCACCTCGTGCACCGGCAAACTTCTTGAGAAGCTTGTTCTCACACGCCTCGAATGGCATCTCGAGCACGTGAAAGCCCTACCCTTTACACTCATTGGCTACCGCAAGAATATCTCCACACAAGACTGTCTCCTTCGGCTATACAATGACCTCCTCCAAGACAAAAGTACCACACAACTCCGCTCACTCCTAAGCCTGGACATCTACAAAGCCTTTGATAACGTCTCACATGACTCCATACTCAGTACCCTCAGAGAAACGCAGTGCGGCCCTCGAATGTATAACTACATCCGCAACTTTCTATCGAACCGCACGGCCGCCTTTAAAATTCCTGGACACATCTCCACACCTTTTCCGTTACACCAAGGAGTACCACAAGGCTCCATCCTCTCTCCCACCCTTTTCAATCTTGCCATGAGCAAACTTCCCGCACAACTCGACACCATCCCCCACCTCAAATTCTCCATTTACGCCGATGACGTTACCTTATGGACCAACACTGGCTCCCCCGGCCAGCAGGAAGAGACACTGCAACACGCTTGCGACACTGTCGCACGCTATGCCATTAGTATAGGTCTGGCCTGTTCTCCATCCAAATCGGAACTCCTCGTCATCTCCAACCGCAAAAACAATCCCGACAGGCAGCTGATCACCGTACACCTCGACGGCACTCCCATACCCCAACGCCCGCACATCAAGCTCTTAGGCCTCACCATCCAAAACAACGGTGCAAGCGATATCACCGTCTCCACCCTCTCCAAACAAATAAATCAAATCACACACATCCTCGGCCGCGTTTCCCGGCGCCACAGAGGCCTCAAAGAGAGCGACATGAGACGAGCCATCGAAGCTCTCATCTACTCTCTCGTACTCTACCATATCCCCTACACCCCACTCACTGCCCGTCAACTCAAACACCTCCAGACACAGCTCCGCAAACCCACCCGCCTTGCTCTCGGCGTGCCACAGTGCGCTCCCCTAGAGCACTTACAACAGATGGACCCCTTCAACACACTCGAGGAGCGAGTCGACTTGCACCGACTGGGTCAACAGCAACGCCTAACCACGTCTCTGCAGGGTCGCTACATTCTCAATTCTCTCGGTTACGACACCCAGCACCTCCCTCCCATCGAAACAACCACACCTCCCTGGGATACCATACCCCAAATCACCGCACTCCCCATACCCAAACATATGAATCCCGACAGCAACCCGGAACGCCGCAAGCACAGAGCCAAACTCATATCCCAAAAACTCGCCACACTTCAGGCACAGCAGCACCTCATCTACTACACAGACGCCAGCTACGACCGTGGCACCAAACTCGGCCGCACCGCAATTCACTGTCCCCAGACCAACACAACGCTTAGGCAAACATACACCGAAGCGCCTTCGGCAGACCTCCTGGAGACTCAGGCGCTATGCTCCGCCATTCTCCATGCCATCGCCAACCCCCACGAGGGACACACCTCCATCACTGTCCTGACAGATTCCCAAAAAGCAGTTCGCACATTTCAGTACAACCAACTCCCCAACTACATGTCGCGTGAGCTTCGAGCCGCCCTCAACACCACCCCCACCGTTCGCTTCTACATCTACTGGATCCCTGGCCACGCTTTAATCCCAGGAAATGAACGAGCACATTCACTTTCCCGAGTCACTTCCACTCCGGGACCTGCGATTGACTGGCCTACGTCCTATGACCCCCAACTCCAGCGCAATGAATACCATCAACAGCGCTCTGACACACTCCGACAACTCCGCGAATCCAGACTCGCCCTCGTACCACCGCCTCCCACACTCTCTCGACAACAGGCCAGCACTATACGCCGAGCACAGACCCACACGCTATCCTCCCCACACTATACTCATCTCTTCCAAGGCGCTCAGGGCACAGCTAAGTGTCCCTTCTGCACTGGCTACCCAAACAACACGCACACCTACTGGCAATGCCTCCACGCAAAACCATCCATCCGCTCTACACTTTCCAAGCTCCCTCCCGGGCTTCGGCCCACGACATGGAAAGAGTGGCTCTCTCCCACAAATCATCAAAACGTGCCCGCCATCTTCGACGCCCTTCTTCACCACATCACAACCATCGAAGAGAAGCTGAGGGCATCGAAAGACGCCACCAATCCCCCATGATCCACCTATCCTCACCCTTCTGAATGGCGTCCTCCTGGACACCACTTTGACACCCTGAACTGAGGGTCAATAAAGATGTTTTCTCTCTCTCTCTCTCTCTCCATCTTCACAACCGAGTCATCGCAGGGCATTCCTTTTCTCCTTCCTTTCGCGTTTCTCCGCATGTCACCAATGACTGTCACTGCAGCGGGCGTCGCCGAGCTCGTCGATAACCTGAACTTATCTTGTGCCCAGCGCCCGGGTACTATTTGCTCAAAGGTACTAAGATAATACGAAGGATATATCCAGCTCGTTCCTTCCGCTAATATTTAACAAGTCATGGCTTACGTCAGAAAATGCGAGATACTTACTAACTAGGTCGCTAATTAACTAAACATGACACATTAACTTTTTAATGAGTGAAAATAGACATATAGTTCCGACTAGAAACTTTCTGAGCCTCATGAAAACCCGCTAAATCAGTCATTTTCAGACAGACTTTGAGCGCGTGAGAAGCGTAGTAGTGCGCTAAAGTCATCACTCGCGGAGCAGGTACAACGCTGGGGCTCTCCTAAAGCGCGATCCAAACCAACGCGTTTTTGTGCGCGCGTAAGTCGTGCGCTTCCCGGAAAGTGCGTATCTCGTGAGGCTCTTGCTGTTTCCGGTGCGCTTTCTGAGTCACAACCATGCGCATTGGTTAGGACGGTGCCGCTTCGGGCGAGCGGACAGCTTCTGCGCCAGACGGCGAAGGAACACGGAGCCGGAACAGTAGCCCTCCACCGACTGGCCGGGAGAGGAGCGCCCTAGCCACTACGTCACAGCGCGTTTTCGTGCGCGTGCGCGTTCAGAAGTTGAATTCGGCCAACTTTCTTATGCGCGCCCGGAAGGCGCAAGGAATCGGCGTGACGTCACAAAATACGCAATTTCCGGGAAGCGCACGGCCTATGCGCGCACAAAAGCGCGTTGGTTTGGATCGTGCTTAAGAGACGGCAAAATCGCGCGGGCGCCTTACCGCAACCGCTAGCCTTGTACCTGCTTTATGAGACTCAGTGGCGTCGGAACAGGGAGGGCAAGGGGTGCGACCGTCCCCCTTCCCCCCCCTCCCCCCAGACAGTTCAGAAATTTAATAAGAACAATGCAAGGAAGGAAGCGCAATTTCGACGTCCCCGCCACCCCCCTCCCCATCAACACCACGACTACCATTGCCCCCCCCCCCCCCCCCTTCCCCCCCGTTCCTTCCATCTCCTGAATAGTTCCAACGCCTGTGCCACGACTGGTAACTTTAGCGCACGACTACGCTTCTCATGCACTCAAAGTTTTACTGAAATGACTAAATTATACTTCGTTTCACCTTATGTTGTACCGCAGAGAAGGCTAGAATCGCGAGCTCATAGCGTTGGGAGCAGCTCTTGACGCACGAGAGCTTGTGCCGCCGAGGTGTGCCCTAGAGCAAGGAGCTCGCGCTTGTAGCCTTTCTGCGGTACAACATAAGGTGAAGCCAATTAAAACTTGTTGTTGGCCTAGTTGGTTCATGATGCAGTATAGAGGTTTTTTGCGCGACACAGGGGACAATTACAAGCGAGTAGACACGGACAAGCGCAACCTTTCAACTGAAGCAGAGTGAAGGTGAAGCAGAGTATAGCGGTTTTCAATGACGCTCAGTAAGTTTATGATTGGATCCATAGGTCTATTTCCACAAATTGAAAAGTTAATGAGTCATTTTGAATTAATTAGTGAACTAATCAGTAAGTATCGCGCATTTTCTGACGTCCGCCACCACCAGTATAATGCGGTCCCGAGAAAATTATCCTTTTACTAGAATACACTAATTGTAGAAATTTTTGTCACTCTTACGTGAAACATCCCGTATGTACCGAAGCTTCTAACCCCCTCCCCCCCCCCCCCCCCCCCCCTTATGTATAGACCTTTTCTTTAACGGCGCCGCCATCTTGAGAATTGCGTCGCCGAAGACGCCGTCTAGCGGCGTAGTAAAAGAAATACCGGCTAGTTCTGGCAGCACAGCTATCTGGGTAGGCAACGGTGTGGGTATGGGGGGAACTTGGCTAGACTTGGCTATGGTGGGCTGCAATAACTTGGTTGGAGCTTGTCCGGTTGAATCCAGCTGGCTACTCACAGGCCATCACCTTGCCTCCTCGAGAGAACGAGGACGAAGACGGTGGGGTGTTTTGACTGAGCTTCCACAGCGAAGTATATATGAGCAATTTAATGTTGTATATAAATATGCATGTAAGCTCTCGACATTTGATAGCTCCATCTTGAGTGGTGGCATGTAGACTTTTTCATACCTTTCACATACCATGGGGCTTGCAGTGATGACCTAATTGGACCACCTGCACCGGGAATTGAAATCTGTCCTCTTATACACGAGGTGGTCGTGAGCTTCAACGTGACGTTCAGTCTGATACGAATCTCTCGCGATTCAATCTCGCAATCGACTGATTTCATAACTAAGGATTCTTGGGGAAAATGCGAAGCTCGATAACATTGCAGCCACACTCGCGCTGCAGCTTCTTGTGCTCATGGCACACTTTCTGCTATTGTTCTTATGCCTTTTGAAATTATTTATCCATCTGACGACCACGCAGTGGTAGCCAGACAACCATAGATTTTCGGAAATTGCAGCACGGTAAAAAGGAGCACTCGGAACTAACTCATGCACGACGTCCGTTTTTAAGCCTTTTCGCCCATACCCTTGGCGGTTGCATACCCTGTGTCAGCGGGCAATCTAAAAATGCACCAGGTCGAGGGTACGTCAGTTACTGGCTGGTTTGAGGTTATGCGAAAAAGGTCTATATACGACGCTGCCTGAGCTCTGCTCCGCCTGCTCTGCGGCAGCTGGCGTACGAAACCTTTGTACGTTCGAAAATGGAGCATGCCGCTGCCGTCTGGTTTCCTCATCAAATTTACCTAGCTTGCACCTTAGAATCCATTAAAAATCCAGCTGCCCGTTTCATCCTATCTAACTGGGATCGTATCGCTAGCCTGTCAGCAATGAAAGCCTCTCTAAACCTCCCCAGTTTTAATACTGGCCGCAGACTATCACCCATGTGTCTCTTTCGTAAACGTTTTGATTCCCACCCTCAACTCGGACAATCTCTGTTGATAGACGGAGATTGTCTGTCTAGCCCATCGTTCATCTCGACGCCATTTTAATTTTCTTAGTATACGTGCATGGTTCCACCGTTATTTTTAACTACTCATTTCTTCCACTTGCCATAATAGAATAAAACGATCTGCCTGACCACACGGTTCACATCAGTTACCCAGATATTTTTAGAAATGCAGTGTCATCCACAATGAATATGTAACTAAGATCATGTGTTTTTTTTTTTTTTTTTTTTTGTGGCCACTACTTGATCAGTAGTGTTTTTTTTTTTTTTGCCTTTTGTTGTTTATTTTTGTGTAATGTTCCTAACGGGGATATTCTTTTCTGTATTGCCACCCCCCCCCCCCCCCCGCCCCCTTGTGTAATTCCCCCGGGGCTTTTAACAGTAAATGAATAAATGAATGAATGATTGAATGTCCGCTTTGGGGCTGGTCCCAAAAGAAGCAGTCACAGTTACAGCTCCAAACGCAATGTGAATTTTGTTTTATTGCTGTCTCTGGCATACTAAACAAATCATTATTACAGTTGCTTTAGTGGATGATTGCACTTCACGATTATGCAGAGTACCGCAGGACTTCTCAACGATAACATTAATATAGTTCTTACATTTAACTGGTTTTGTCTTAAACTTCGTAATGATGATTTTTTTTTTATTGTTTCTTTTCCCCACAGGACTACCCAGGCCGCACCGAACTTCAGAAATTTTCGAGCTTCTCGTATTCATAATTCCTGTTTTGCATAATTCTTAACCAATTTCTCATCCTCATCATATTGCCGCGCGCAAGGCTGAGAAAGCAACGCTAGGTCACGGTCCTCCAGAAAGTTCCCGTTTATTCATGTACCGCATGTAACTTCTATCATTTATCCCTGCTTTTGTTTTCTAGAAAGTGCGTGTTCATTCTCGCCCCGATCACGCGACGCTCGAACCGCTTTCGCCGAATCTTCGAGATAGCGGCGCACTCTAGATAAGAGGCCGCCCGCGACCTTGTCGAATCAGTCTCGCCCTAGCGCTCGATTCTGCTGACACGCCGACTTCGACGCCCGCGACGCTCTGCTTTCTTCTGTTTCCTTCTTTATTTTTTTTGGCACAAGTTCGCCACATTAAACGTTTATTTCTTTCTGTTTATTTCCTATTTTTTGTTTGGTCACCACTCGTGACAATATTGTCGTTGGTTCTGGGGTATGATAAGGACTTGTTATGTTAGCAGTTATTTTTAAGAAAGAAAAAAAATATCCGCGTCTTTTTCTTAACAGTCGCATAGCCCTATTGAATACTGATGTCCCTAGCAATTACCAAAATGTTCTCAGATGGAAGTACTACTTTTTTCGGAGCATTTTGAAATATACGAAATATATGAAACCCGAGACCTCTTAACGTAAAAACCGAAATACGATAACACCAAAAACAAGGCGAAACGGAAGCAACCGAAACGGACCTAATTTCGATTCTCTATTCGTCGTTTAGCTTGAGTCGTTGGTTAAGGAGTTTCGCTCGCAGTCATGCATTCGCCATGCCTCATCTTTTCCCTAAAGCTCGGGTCATTTGGGAATCGTGTTACCGGGGATGGTCCTAGTTGAAGCCGCATACGAAATGTCAGTGGACAGCTCGCATGTGCGACCGAAAAAAAAAAAGAAAAAAAAAAAAAAGAAGTCCGGCCTAGCGGAAGAGGCCATCCGATGCCTCTCTGAAGATGGCATTATAGTGATGAGACGGGAAACCTGAGTCGACACAGCAACTCTCAGTGAGCTGATGGTGACGACAGCCACTCCTGGTAATGACCTTGCCCCACTAGACGGACATGCAACCAACGTTGCATCTTCGTAGACATGCTGAATACTCCTAGTGAGTTATTTTTGCCCTTTAAAACCCTCGGAGGCAACAAACTGCGAAAACCTCTGCTTGTGTTCATACATGTTTGTCTTCATTGAGCCCCGCCCCTTTATTATTATGTATACCTTGAGCGAACAATGAGTTAAGCAA